ATATATATATATGTATGTATATATACCTTATAAAGACTCAGGAAAAAAGGTTTCCAGAACTGCTTCAAGAAGTGATAAGAATGATAGGACACAAATGTTCAAAGAGGGGGTGGAATATTTTGAGGGAAATTAATAGCAACATTTTTATTATAACTTTTATTTAAACATTCACCATATATTTTGATCACCCCTTAAAGTCAGAGAATCACACAAAGATTTAGATTTGAATATGTTCAACACAGCATTATTTAATTTTTAAAATGGAAAAAGTCCAGAAAGAATGGCTGCTATCAAGAAATCAACAAATAACCAGTGCTGGCGGGGATGTGGGAGAAAAAGGAACCCTTTTCTACCGTTGGCGGGAGTGTAGATTGGTGCAAGCACTGTGATTCCAAGAAAGGGAATCTTCCTGAAAGAATTAAAAGTATCATACCACAGTGATCTATGCACACCCATGTTTATAGCAGCACAGTTTTTAATAGTTAAATCTTGGAAACAGCCCAAATGCCCATCAATCGACAAATGGATAAAGATGATGTGGGGTTTTTTTAGATAATGGAGTACTACTCTGCCATTAAAAATGGGTCAGCTTCATAGGCCGGGGATTTAGCTCAGTGGTTTCGCCGCCTGCTATGCAAGCGCAAGGACCCAAGTTCGATCCCCAATACCAAAAAAAATTAAAGGGGGGGGGGGCGGTGAGGTTCAGATATTTCTAGCTAAATGGATGGACCTTGAGACCATACTCTTAAGTGAAATAAATCAGACACATATGTTTAAATACTGCATTGTTTCTCTGGTGTGAGAAACTGAGAGTGGAAATAAGGTCTAAAATGTATAACAGATATTGGGAAATGGGAAGAAAATGTTCAAATGGGAAGGAAAACAAGGGAGGAGGGGAGGAGAAAGAAAAGGGTCAAGAAAAAAGAAAAACTACAAGGAAGAAATGGAAACAAACCTTTTGTACATAGGGTGGGGAGGGGCTTGAAGGAAGGGGGGGGATGGGAAAAAAGAAGCAGAATGTATCACGTACAGGTGCAAATTCCCTATGATGAGTGTGGTCATTATGTTTGCCTAAAATGTACCAATAAATGTTTTGCTATTAAAAAAATGAAATTGATCAAGCTGATGTTAAAAAAAATAGAGCCCAGCTAAAAGATTAAGTAAATAAATAATGTCATTTCAAAACAGCAAAACAATACACAGGTTAAAAACAGAATAAACTAATAACAATGAATTTAACAATATATCTCTGTTCAATTTTTATATTATGTATTATATTAAAATCACATTATAAAATAATACGTAGAAATTTTTAAAATTTTGTTGAAAAATATTGTAACTAAAGCCAACAGCATTAATTTGAGTAGTAGGAGCAGAAGTGATTTATGTTTTCTTATTCATCCTTTTTTAGGTTCCTAGAAGTCTATCAAAAGCATATTCTGGGGAACCCTTGTGCATTGCTAATGACACAGCCACACTAGCAATATGTCAGTTCCTCAAAAAGCTAAACATACAGGTACCATATGATTCAGCAATTCTGATTCATTATACACCCAAAAGAATTGAAAGGATGGACTTAAGGTGATATTTCTACACCAATGCTCATAGCAGCATTATTCCTAACAGCAAAAAGGTGAAAAAAAGCCACGGTTCATCAACAGAAGAACAGATAAACAAAATGTATATACAGCATACAAAGAAACATTGTTAACTTTAAAAAGGAATGAAATTCTGACACACGTTACAAAGTGGATAAATCTTGGAGACATTGTGCTACAGGAAGAAAGCCAGATACAAGGACAAATACATGATTCTATGTATACAAGGTACCTAAAACAGTCAAATGCATAGAGACAAAAAGAATAGTAACTTTCAGGGGCTGAGGAAAAGGAGATAATGAAGAATTTTAATAGATACAGAATTTCAGTATAGAATGATGAAAAACTTCCAGAGATAGATAGTGGTTATGGTTGTACAACAATGTGAATGTCCTTAGTGTCAATGAATTAATAACTAAATGGTTAGTTTTGCTATGTATATTTTACCATAATAAAAACCTGAAAACATAATTTCTGTAATAAGAATTCTTTAAAAATTTAATCAAAGAACATATAATTCAAAATAGAACAGAGTGAACTACAAAGAGTAATCATTTCCACTAACCTGAAATGGATGCCATTTCTAACACTGAATTGGAGATCCAAATTTCTTTCTAAAAGTGAAAAAACAAACACGGCGACAGGTTTTCATTTGGGCTAGTGACACGGATCAGAAGCAAAGTGTCTGCACAACACGCTTGGAATCATGGGTTTCATCCAAAAACAACCACTAAGAGGACTACTGACAATGCTCAATCAATGCTAATCTGTCATTATCAAGCAGGAAAAAAAAGAAAGTCATGTATTGCAATGACCTTGTTACAAGGTGATTCTTCTCACAATGGAAAATTTTCTGGATTTTGGCAGGACAATCAACATTATCTAAAACTAAGAGTGCTCTCCAAAAGTAGCTTCATGACCATCCTGCTCTTATTCAGACTACTTCCTATATACAATTATGCCCCTCCAACACAGAATTTGAAAGCCACTGCCGGGCTAGAATGATTGGCTGTCTTTCTTGTCTTGCTAAATGGTAATAGAATGGCCACATTACTAAAAGTAAGTAAACAAGAACTTCGTCTTGGAAATGTAATATTCCTTCTATAGATTGTAAAATCCTCCAGCAAGGCAAGGATTGAGTCACTTCACCTTTATATTTACAGAGTCTAGCAAAGTGCCTTGTATTTAGTGCAGGCTCACTGAAGCAGGGGGCTATCTCTACTCTTATGAAAAAATGTGATTTATATCCAATTTTCCCTAAAATGACTCCCTGGTGGTTAAAAGACTGATCCCCCATATGATGCAACTGGACAGCAAAAGATATCTCAAAGTATATTCGATAACTAATAAGCTACAGTAAGTCTGTAAGTCAGAAGCCTGAGCAAGTTACCAACAAGGGATAAGAAAAAAAATGTGTGGTGGGACAGCTGCCATCAATAGTGAAGGAAATGTATCATGGTACAACAGGCTAAACCAGACCCACATCCTGCCAATCCTCACAACCTGCATTTAGAGCCAACAATAACTTAATAAGACCCTTCCTTACGCTACTGCAGAAGGATGAAGGCAGAGGATGGAAGCAGCACCCCCAGTGGTACTTCCCAATAGACTATGCCTGTTACTAAACAGGCTTTGGCGCCCAGGCCTCTGGAGTAGAAAAGTCTGGAGAGAAAAAGAGACCGGTCGGCAAGCGGAAGTCCTCCTAAAGGCCCGAGTTCCAACAGGGACTGAGGAATGACTAAAGCGCTGATTTCTCCCCCGCCAAAGTACTGGGGGAAAGACCTCTGGGACGCACGGGCCTCGCCCTCCGGCAGGAGAGGAAAAGATCAAAGAAGGAGCGCCATGCAACTGGCTCCTCGAAGCTGTACCAGGAGTTACCCCACCATCTCTATCCATAGGGTGAAAGGAGTCGCCTCTGACTACCGGGTCTCCAACCCCAAGGCGCGGGGCTCCGGACCGCTACGAACCTAGCTCAGTCGCTCTCCAAAAACACCTTCCCGCCACCCAGCCCAGAGTATCCACCCTTCCGGGTCGTTCCGTTCAGCCAATCGTAAACAATTACCTTCTCTAATTGGTCAGAGGGTGTGGCCAGCAGGCTTGTCATCGAACAAGACCATATGTTATTGGCTGCGAGGGGGAGCATGATTAGCCAATAGGACTCTGTTTTGAAGCTATGTGGGGCGACTGCGTGTTTCCGGAAGACGTGGCGGCTCTCCTGAGCTGCCTCCTGGTTTCATTTCTCCCCACTCAGCTTCCCACCCTGGGCGTTCCGAGGTGCTTCCGCCACCGGCCTCACCGCTGCAACCATGATCTCTTTAACAGATACCCAGAGTAAGCGCTTGTCCCCGTGTTCCCTGCCTCGAGCCCCGCGCACCCCTTGCCTGTTCTGGGTCTCGCCCGCCGGTCCTTCCGCCTGGGTCAATGAATGAACCTCCGCGCGGGGGGCGGCGGCCTTGCAGACTGAGCGAGGCTGCCGGGAGCCGAGAGCAGCCTGAGGGGCCGGGGCTGGACGTGCAGTGGGGACCCGGGCCGCCGAGAGTCGGGGCTGGGTGGGACGCCCGAGCTGGGGAGCGGGCATTTTAGTTGGGCGTCTGGGTCACGCCGCTAATATTTGACTTTCGCCACTCCTGGATGCTACGTTCCAGAAATTCTTCGCAGTGACTTCACTTTACTACCCGCCGAAAGTTCCCGCAGTAGTAGAAAACTACTTTATTTTTGTTAGAGGATTTCTTTCCTTAGTGTTGTAGTTGTGCTTTGTGGCTTGTTTTATTATGTTAGCATCCCTTTCTGCCTGCCACAGAGCTCTCCAGGCCTTTCTCATCGCTAAGGTTAGCATTGCGGTCTGTTTCCTTTTCTTTCAATATAACCCACCACTTTCTTTGTGTAGTTATGTATCTGCCCGAACTCACTACTTAGGTTTTGATGGTCGTGATTTTTGTCTCACTTTGTTTTGTCTGCCATGCCTTTCGTTTCTTACTCCAGTTAACTGATCCGGATTTTCAAAACTTTATGAATTAAACAGTTCATTGGGGTGAAAATAGAACTTCATTTAAATGCTTTGTTTTAAAGTGGAGTCATAAGGTTGAGACTCAAATCATAGCGGACTTGAATTCCAGTTTCTAAGGTCTCCCATATACACTGCCACCCTAATCAGGCTGTCTGCTTTCCTTAGGTTGAGCTGGGTCGGGATCTTGGGACCCAGCTCTGGCCAAGAAAGATTGTCCATTTTGGTACATTTGCTTTCGTTGGCCTCCATTCTGATCATACAAAATA